TTCAGAAGATCTCTTATATTTCGCCTTTGCAGTGTAAGATTTAGGATCAAACCCAATGATCAAAGCGAAATCCCTCCACCACTGACACCTCCCACGCTTCCTAATGCTGCTCCAAAGAATCCAATCATTGAGCCAACCACGATTTGACATTTGAATTTCATCGGCTATTGGAAGAAAAACGCAGTAGTTCATAAACAAAATCATTCAACAAATCGAATCCTATACAAAATCCAAAAACTAAATAGTGCATTACCAACCAAACATGCTGATATCGAGATACATCAGCCCTCAATAAACCCAAAACCTTCGTGAAATAGCTTGATTCCTCCATCTCCTCCGTTGCAATGACCAAAATGAGCTTCATTATACTCGGCTGCCTAGGGAAATCTGCAATAGCCTGAACCTTCTCGGAATCTACAGAAATGCATGTACTACTCACAACATTCCCCACCCCCCCCCCCAAAAAAAAAAAAAAAAAAATCTTTGGCTAAAACTCACATTTAGAGAATTTTATCCTGTACAGGATGGTGAGTTGACAGTCTTTTTTTTAAATTGGGTTTGTAATGTAATCTTAGGTAACATAAAAATTGAGGTATAAGAAAACTAACTGATATAATATGATACACCGATGTATAGAAAGGGATGACTTATATAAAATTTATCTGACTTGTAATATGTGATAGAAGCATTATTCCTGACAACATAACTAATATGATTGAGACTAATTTATATAAAATGAGCCTCCAAGATTGTATACAAGAAAAACACTACAGGTAGTTAGATTTTTTATCTAACTTACATATGCATATAGCATCAAAATACATAATAAATTCGAAAATGCTCTAGTGGCACACTTGGCAAACCTCCATGATTTTTCCTTTTAAAATTTCCAAGAAAAAAATAGTCTGCCATGCGCTATTCTGCTCAGCTTCTTCTATGTGTGAATCCAACATTAGCCTATCAAAACTTAGCAGCTACTGCGACCACTAACTACCAAGCTCCTTGGTTTTGCTCCCAATTACCTGTCTGCTCCTACCATAGTTCTCAAATTACTTGCATGGTATACAGTATATCTCTTCAAATATTTTTAAAATAACGTAGAAAATTCGTTCCCATAAAACCTTTTAATTATGAAAAAAAATCAAATTACTCTAATCCAATTTTATCCGAACTATCTTAAAAAATCAATGCATGTTATTTTTTTCATGACATTTTTTCTACTAAGTTTTTCTACTACATTTTACAGTAAATATTTTCATTGCTTTTTTATTTACTTGCAGGCAATTTCATATTATTTAAATATAATAGAGATATCAAATATCAATTTATAACTTTATTCCAATCAAAATTAAACTAATATATTTTAAAATTAAGTACTTACAGGCTCTATCAAATTGACCCTTTCGCAGCCCTTTACTCTTTAACAACATGCTGGTTGAATTGTTCATTTGCCTCCATAGTATTCCAACTCGAAATACCTGCCCAGTGTTTTTGCCAAACAGGTCACTACTAATTAACGAAAATATGACATGGAGTGCAGCACTAAAACATACAAGGAAGAAAAAAAACTATATATGCTTGAGAAAATATTCAACCGTCCATGCATCAGAAGGAAAATATAAACTTTGAAGGTATCGGATATTGTACTGTATGAGCCATAGTTTGCATATTGATACTTCTCATAAGTCTGAATCAGTTTTCAGCTTTGAATTCCTTCTTAATGAGTACTCTGAAGTTTACGAAGAGAGGAGAAGATATTTCAATGGAAGGAGGAGAGAGGCCAAAGCAGATAAGACCAGTGAAGTTGGCAGCTCGAAGAGCATCGAGAAGAGAGATGAGGAACGTTGCAGCAATTTCAAGTAGTTTCCTACCTGCCTTTGGAGTGGCTATCGATGAAAATTTTTCTCAGAAAAAGAAATATGTAATTGTTCCTTTTGACCGTCGTTACAGGTTGGTGAGTCTTCCCTCACTCTTACAAGATTAAAAGTTGGATTCATTTTTTTTTGAAATCGATAGATGGTTAGTTATTTGGTAAAATTCTTAGAGATTGCTTGTTCTCAACTTGGTTCAGCAATGACTCCATGGAATCCTAAAAATCAACTCGCATTGACACATGAATTTCTTGTCTGGGATTTTTTTTTATTTTTTATTTTTTTTATTTATTTTTTTTTTATTATGGAAGAATGCATGGTTAAGGGGATGGATGATGTCGGAGAAGCTAGCAATAGACTACTTGGAACCCAAAGCAGAATGTTACAGGGGAGAGCGGAATGCAGAACGTCTCCCAGATTTTCTCTTGGTTCGTTTGAAAGGCATGGAAGGTGACATCTCAAGGCGGGATACTGAACGTTGGGGAATATTTCCCTTGTTGCACAAGTACTGAGCAAGTAGGGGAGAGAATCCATGAAAAGTCTTAATGACTTTATTCCTTCTCCCAAATGAGGATAGACATCGACCATCCTAGTGTGTAGGGTGTGGCATATGATGACGTGCAATGCACAATCATTTAAGAAGGGATCCAAGGTAGCAATCGGCTTCGGCACAAGAGGAGATGACGAGACATATTGTACACAAGGAGATGATGTCACAAAGACTAAGACAAACCATGTCGTGTGCTGAGATGTCCACCAAGGTAACCAAACAACTGAAATGGTGAGATGGAGGGAAAGCGAGACAGTAGAAATCAAGAAGGAAGATGTCAAGCTAACATCACTAGTGTGATGAGTTGTCGATGAATGCTGAGGAGACAGCCAACTTGAGGAGAAGCCAAGGAGGCTTGCAATAGATCTAGGATGTCAAACAACTAGCAAGTGTTGATAAAGGAAGCTTTTGCATGGAAGAAGCCAACAAGTCGAGGAGGTGCTTGCCCGGAAGGAAGTCTGCAAACCACAACGGATTGAGTCCCTCTCCTGTCCTAGTTAAGCATGCACCCCTTCCCTGCATCTTCCTTCCCAATGATGCTCGATCAACCACCACTGGCCCTAAACAAAAGCCAACTAGCTCCCTAGCCATCCGTGACACTTTCGACCACCTACTTGATCATCACTATCGCCTACCTCACCCACTCTATTCAACCCTCTTTCTTACTATCTCTCTAAATATACAGAGAGAGTGAGAGAGAGAGAGAGCTCTATCTAATCCAATCTCTCTCCCTTTAACATTCATCCTCTATCTCTACCACTTCTCCCCCTCTTTTTTTTTTCTAAAGAAAGATTTCCCTCTCCCTCTACTATTCCATCTCTCTCTACCAACTCATCCCTCACTCTCTCCCCTCACTTTCTCTATAAACAAAGAAAAAGGTTCATCTCTCTCTCTATCCTCTCTCTACAAATTTCTCTCTCTATCTCTCTATTATTAATTCTACAACTCTCTCTCTTTCTCTATCTATCCCTTTGTCAATATAAGAAGAAAAAATACAACAAAAAAAAGTAAATTTTTCTTTTGTCAATTGTCACAAACTTATCATTGCATTGTCATCCACTACCCTGGACAAATGTAATTTAGTCATTGAAAAGCATCCACCTAAAAAGCATGTAAGTGCATCCTGCAGGGGCATCAAGCATCAACAAGCATGTAAGTCCACTGAAAGGGCAAATGCACTGAAAATCATACCAGTACGAAACATGCAAGCATGTTAAAAGTGTGCGAGCGCATTATACAAATGCACTGTAAAGCATGAAAGTGCATCATGTATGCACATAAAAAAACATGGAAGTACATTAAAAGTGTGTCAATATATTGTGCAAATGTATTGAAAAGCATGCAACTACTTTGTGTAGGCATAACAAAAAGCGTACAAGTATATTGAGAAGTGTATGAATACTCATGCAAATAAATAAAAAATGAACAAGTGCATTATGCAAACGCACCAAAAAATGAGCATGTTTTCCAAAAGATATGTTGAATTGCCTAGACTAACTCATCAACATGTGCTCCGACCAAATATATCACTCCTACATTAGAGATTTGAGAATGTTGCACATAGTAAAATAAAGAATAAATTTAAATTTTGTTTATCTAAAAAATATAAGCTTCAAATAGTGCACTATTAAATCTATTCTCACAAACGAACATACGACTATGAAATTCACAAAAATATTTGATTTAACATTCACATTAGGCCTTCAATGCCTTTCTCAAAATATTCATTAAAAAAATGCAAACTCTCAAATTCACCACTCATATAGTTGTTTGCAAAGTTAATATTTAAACTCAATCATTTGTCAATGAGCCCGCAGAGCTGACAAGATCTCCTTCATATGCCTTACCCGAGACCAAGCTTGAAGTGCTTAAATCCAGCATAATGGATGGAAGTGGCATGAGTAACTCCTTATTTTGTGGAATCTTTCCACTAACCTAATGATTAAGTTAAGTTTATGCAAGCATCTTGTAACACCCCACGATACCCACAATTTTATCTCCAACCAGGTCGTGGATCAATTGAGGTGGTGGTGCTGATAGACAGTGGGCTAATAGACAGTGGGGCTACCCACAATTTCATCTCCAACCAAATCATGGATCAATTGAGGGTGAAGATGGTGGGCACAGAGAAGGTGGAGACAGATAGAAGAGTTTGTAGGGGGGTGGTTCTAAACATACAAGGGGTCCATGTGAGGGAGGACGTCCTTCTATTGGAGTTAGGGTGTATTGATGTCATTCTGGGAATAAAATGATAGTAGACCTTGGGAGATACCAAAGTTAATTGAGGAGCACTAGTGATGGAAATGATGGTGGAGGGAAGAGGAGCACCACATATGACTCCTTCCAAAGTGTTGTGCGGAAGGGATACACCTCAATTAGTGCATTTTTGACAGAGTAGCACACCAGTCTCATCGGTACAACAGTGCTTGAAGGAGAGGGATATGGTGTTGGTTGAATTATAAAGGCATTTTGTTGAGAGCTCAGCAGATCAAGTAGAAGCAGGGGGATGGGCATATAAAGGGCATCTAGTTTGAGATAAGAGATAGGGTATACTTAAAGCTTCGTCCCTACAGACAATGATGGTAGCTAACAGGAGGAATGAGAAGCTAGCCTCGAGATATTCTGATCCTTATGAGATATTGGAGAGGTTTAGAGCAATAGCTTACCGATTGAGATTATCCCTAACCGCTATCATACATCCAGTGTTCCATATGTCACTGTTGGGGAGAGCTATCAGAGATCATGCATCCAATTTAGAGTTACCCGTGACACTGATAGAAGATTTGGAGGTGTTGTTGGAACTACTGGAGCTGAAAGGGTACGACATGGGGAGGGATCAAGAAAGTGCTGATAAAATGGAAGAACCTACCTGACTATAATGCCACCTAGGAGCCGTACGAGAGGGTGGAGCATCACTTTATGTCTTTCTACCTTGAGGACAAGCTGGGTCTTCGAGAGAGGGATATTGATAGACCAGTACCTCCTAGACTGGCATTGGTTTATAGCATGCCGAGATTCCGTATGTAATGAATCCCCGCCCCTTTGAGGTGGACCCAGGGTAGGAATTTGAATGGAGAGGAGGGGGAGCCTGGGAGGGAAAAGGAAGGGGTTATTTTGGGATTTTGTTAGAGAATTGTATAGTTTAAGTAGATTTTTTCCTAGGGTTCAATTTTTTTCTTATGCTTGTGTTTGCTGAAATTAATTTTGCTTAGGTTGAGAGGGCCCTAGCCGACAGCTAGGGATTTAGGAGAGTTGGATCTTCCTCTCAAATTGAAGATCCAACTATATCCTGCTATTTTTCTTCATATATCTTGCAATAAAAAGATGATTTGTGTTCTTCTTCCTAATTTCTTATTGTCGTTCGCTAAGTTTTGTTGAAATCACATCTACTTCCTATCATGTTCCTTCTTTTGCATCTGTAGTGCTATGGTTTCTTGCTTTCATAGTTTATGAAAACTTCCTTTTCCTTTCCAAATGCAAACAAATTTTTACCTTTCACATTAGATGTCCTTGGGCATCACCCTGCCTTACAAACAATTGTTTACCTCCATCATCAACAAGTAGAATCTCTTTGATACAATTGTAAGCTCATTGTTCAAGCCTTGATCATCAACTTCAGTGTCATAAAAAACTCATGCTTTTAAAGATGATTCCCCAAAGATCAATGTCCTTAAACTTCCTATTCTACCATTTATCTTCATGTTTTCTTTCGAGCTTCTATTCATGCTCTATTAAAGAGACCAAAAGAAGATCAACTAAAAATGTGGATAAATCTTTGACATCTATTATAGGTGTAACCTTGGTGTCATTCCTTAGGGATAAATCATTTGTTTCTTATTCATAAGTTTTTAGTAGGTGTATTCATTCCCAATATATTACAAGCTATTAACTATATTTATGAATCTACAATACACATCCAAGATAGAATTCTTGGATTTCATTTGAAACAATTCATACTCATCAACTAAAATACTGATCTTACTTCTGTGAACCTTATTAGTCCCCTAGTCCCCACAAATCGGACTATAAGCTTGTTTCAAATCTCTTTACTTAAGCATTGACAGCTAAATTTAAGTGTGCAAACGCAGTAAGTGATAGCATTGATATTTAATTATGTGAAACTTATCTCACTGGAAGTCCGACCTTACAATAGCAACATATAAAATACTCCATAAAGAACAATATTTCCAATGTAAAGTTAAAAGCTACATTATAACATTTCATTTTTTATAAACTGTAGAAGGTGGCAAGCATTTCTAGTCCTGCTGGTTGCTTACTCAGCCTGGGCATCCCCGTTAGAGCTAGCATTTGAGAAGCTAGTTGCCTCCAAGGCACTCATAGCCATTGATCTGGTCGTTGATGCCTTCTTTGCTGTTGATATTGTGGTCTGTTTCTTCGTTGCTTATCTGGACAAATCTACCCACCTCCTTGTTTTTGAACAAAAGAAGATAGCTACCAGGTCAGAATCTTAAATCACTTGATTCATTCCCCACATAATCTTTTATTCTTGCATATGATACTAATTTGCCTAACTTCAGCTATGTAGCATAATAATGACTATTTATAAATATTGCGATCATAGATAACATTTGCATACATAAATACATAGTGGAAAAATGACTAAGCATCATTCATGCCAATTTATAGAAGAATGGAAAGTAAAAAAGAGAGGTCAGAGGTGGAGGGAGGCCAAATGAGAGAGAATAATTGAGTTCTAACAGAAAGCTAGAAATTTCCTATACATTGCAAATTTCTACAAAACATCACTTTCTCTTGCTTAAGCGTTTGCAAGCACACAAACAAATGTATTGCTTGACAGTTTTAGATGTCACATTTTTATAGTGCATTCTTCCTATTTTATGTCATTATAAAATAAATTCCTCAAAGTAAAGGACCATAACATCAAAACTTTCCCAAAACAATTAACGATGCTTAGGTGAACTAAATGATTTGATTACAGGATAGCAACAAACACACGTTAATGGTAATAGGCCGGCGGCGGAAAGCAACGGAAGTCAAGCGAGCTTCTTACAGTGTAAACAGCTCTTGCTCAAAATTGGACGAGTTTATTTTACCTCAAAAATGAACTAGAATGATTTACATTGCATTTACTTTACTTTGCATTCTTTTTCCGACTAACCAAACAACAATAATTTCAAAACCCTACATTTGGAATAATTTACACTCATCTTACTTCCAACCAAACATTCCCTAAATTCTTTTTCTCTTAAATATATCCCTTCATATGTATGTCCATGCTAAATAATATAGGAAATATATAGTGTTATATCTTGTTATCATATTAACATTCTTAAATAGCCTAAATTATTTATTGTAGAAATCTATAATTTTATTATTGTAATATTTTTTTGTAATTTAAGATATTCTTCTTTATTGTGATTTTATTGATAGTTCTATTCTCTTGTTTCTATATAGCCACAAATGATGATACCTAAAAACAATTCAGTCAAGAAACTATCTTTTATGATTCACTCTCTTCTAACATTCATGGTCTCTAGAATCACCCTGATCTTTCATAAACAACTTCCTGTAATTGCCACACTCCTCAAACATCTAGTCTTCATTTTCCTATTCTCATATTTTTCCCTCTTACAGCAAACCATCTATGCTCTTAAAAGACTGGATTGGTCCCCTAACCTTTTTTAAAGGACTAATGTATTTTGTGACTACATAAAAGTACCAATTTGATCCATTGACTTTTTAATTAAGGATCAAATTAGTCATTTTGTGGGATCATTTAAATCCCTATTTTAGAAATCAAGGAACAAAAATAAAACTTTTAAATAGTCGGGAACTATTTTGATTATTTGTAAAGAGTCAGGGAACCATTTTAGTCATCGTCTAGCTATACTAGCTTTTGCCTCTATAAGCTTGTTGTCTCCATCAATGACTACTAAGGCACTTAACCTTCTCCTCTGTTTCCCATTAATCTCTATACCTCTATGATTTACCTCGTTCTCTAGCGAGGACTGCATCATTGTCATTTTGGCCTTATTATGGCAATGTTTTCTTTAATACTAGCTATCAACACTTTTCATCAACATTCTCGACTGATATCTTTATTGACGCTCTTTATCATCATCGTTATTTAAACATTTTATCTTCGGCCTCTCTAACATGTTTCTTACTATAAAGGCTTTACATTTGATTCATCCAGACTCTTTTTTCATGAATCAGTCACCCTCCTCTTATAGCACCCACATAACCTTTTAGCAATAAAACCTTCAATTACTTCATCTCTGGGCACTATTATTTTCAAACTCAAGTCAATTTTTTATAATAATTAAAGCAGAAAAACTCTTTCAACTTATATTGCATTTATCTAGAAATAAACTATAAAAATTTTAATTATAATATCCAAATGCAATTTATTTTCATATAAAAGTCAGTGCTATAATGAGATAAATGAAAGAATTAAAGCTATTAACTATGCTTGTATTTTAATAAAGAATAAATAATAACAATACAAAAATAAATAATAAAAAAGAATTATTAAATTATGGGGAGGCCACCCCCCCCCCCCCCTAAAAAAAAGATCCATGCCAAGAAGTTATTATGATATCAAAATTATCACATTATGTCAATTATTTTTAATAAGAATATGTATTATTTCTCATTAAAAGATTTCATCATTATTTAGATTATTCTCTTTTATTGTATTTTACTTTGTTGTTCTTTTATATTGCCAATATAAAGGCACATATATGCTTACATCTAAAGAAAATTCAAGAAAGATTCAGCCCTTTATAATTCTGTCTCTTTTTAATATATATATATATATATATATAATATATATATAATGAAAAAAGGATCAAAATGATCCCTCAATTCCTTATGAGAGACTAAAATTATCTTCAGCTCTTTTGAGAGACCAATTTAGTCCTTCATCTCTTTAAAATTGGACCTTTTTATCCTAATATCTAATGTTGGAATTAATGGCGATAAATGTAAAGGAATTTTAGTCATTTTTAATTAAACATTTATTAAATGTAATTTTCAAATATATAATTTTTAAAAAATTATTAAATGTTTCTTTAATAAAAAAATTAATAATAATTTTAATTTTAAAAATTTTAGTCATATTTTATAAAATATGATTGGTAAAAATATATGTAACTAAGTTGAAAATAATATCTATTTGCATTTGATTTCTCTAAATAAATATATACCATATTTTATAAATTATGATTAAAATTTTTGAAATTAAATTAAAATTATTTTTTTACTAAAGAAATTTAATAATTTTTTAAAAAAAATTATAATTACTTAAAAATTATATTTAATAAATATTTAATTAAAAAAATGACCAAAATATCCTTAAATTTAAGACCATTAACTTCAACATTAAATGTTAGGACCAAAAAATTCTTATTTTAAAGAGTTAAGAGACCAAATTGGTCCCTCAAAAAAGTTGCGGATTGTTTTGATCCTTTTCTCTATATATTATCTACAAGAAGAACCTATACATTTAATGCAAAGCAAATTTTGCCACATAACAGCATTGGCGATGCCTAGAGACGTCTGCATTTTTAATATTTTCACTATATGGGAGCATTAAATTGAACTACAAGCAAGTTAGTCACATACAATCAAATCCATATGGATGCTTGGATGTGCATGCTTTCAGTTCTCACATTTCCTAATTCTAATTATATGAATATCAGGTATGTCATGACCCTAAACTTTGGTATGGACGTAGTTTCAACATTGCCATTTCAGCTCTTCTATGGTATCATAACTGGTAAAAGCAAAGATGGAACTTTCTTGGGAATATTGAGTCTGCTGCGCTTGTGGCGACTAAGACATGTTAGCAACTTGTTTGCAAGGTGAGGAAATAAAAGCAATTCATTTTTAAATTAATTGACAAAGCAAGCTTGGCCTTTTTGATATTCTCCTTCAATAATAGAATGTGAAAAGTTAAAAGCATTGTTTTTGTCAATTGGAAACTTAATCCAAGGTACTGTGATATCAGAAAAATATATTAAAATATCTGAAATTTAAATTTGTTGAGAGAAAAAAGAACTTGCATGCATTTTAGATCAACTACTTAGAGCAATATCAGCACCATATTAAGGTTTCTCTATCAAACTCAATAATTTAACCATTGACGGATTAACTAGTGAAATCTTAATAATAACAGGCAAAAATGACTCACTTATGATGGAAGGAAAAATGGTCTTTTCAACTGAATGCCTGGTTCAAATTAGAGACTCCAACCAAGTTTCAGCTAATGGAGGACCTGCAAATATAAAAAAAATAAAATAAATAAATAAGCAAGAAATGTATCATAACAAACTAAATTTGTATTGATAAATACATGCTTCAAAAATATTAAATCAATAACCAAAAGTAGCGGCACCATATTATGCTTAGAATATGCAACAAATCAAACTCTCAATAATATCTGACCATGACTGCTCAGCATCTAAATCTTCACAAAAACAAGGCTAATGACCTTACCTATTCTAGAAGGGGAAAACATGTCACTTTCAACCTAATGCCTAATGCAAAATTAGAAACTCAAACAAAGTTCCAAATTAAGGGTAGAAAGAAATAGAGAAAGAACGGAAAAAGAATGAGTACAATGTTTCTATCTTTAAGCTCCCTCTACTTGTATGCCACTTGAGATTTGTGCAAGGAACATGAAAAATCTACATGACTTGAGGATCCTCATATTAATAAATATATACATAAAAATTCAAATAAATTAAAAAACAAACACTCACAGATGTTACATCAATAACTATAGTAAATATTAGAACATTATTAAAGTTTCTAATATGAAATACCATTTCAAAATAAGCTTCTATTAGTTCAATGTTATCAGGAAGCAGGGGCTACACATCAAGCAACAGAGAAAGTATTGACTAAATGCTGTCCCTATGTGCAGGCTAGAGAAAGACACTCGGTTTAGCTACTTTTGGACAAGATATGTAAAAATCATCTCTGTAAGTGTACATTATACCTTGATTTGCTAATTTTTATATTAAAACAAGAAAAGGAGTTCGGTGTCGTAATTTACAATGTGAAAATACACAAGATATTCTCTCAAAAGAACAAAGCTGAAGCTTTTTTGGCAAAGCTTTTAATAGCAGTAAATATATGTATTTGTGAATATTGCTCCCAACCATTATCATGTTTACAATTTTCTACATATATCAACTTCGCTTTCATTTGCTTTCAAAGACTCATAACTAGTATCACAGAATAACATCAGCACATCATCAGCATCATCCCAACCACTTGGGGTCAATTTTACAAATCCTCGTTTCATATTCATTATTGTTAAGTAATATCTCAAATGTAATTATTTTTTAATAACATGTTGTCACAACCCAATTCCAAAAGACAATAGACCTTGGTAACACAAGATATGATGAAATTGACCTCAACTCTTAAGATAACTTTAAAAGTTAAGATCAATTAAATCAATGTTGTTCTCAAGGGAGAAAATTTTAATATACAATGCTAAGGAGAACATGAAATAATAAGCATAAGAAAATAAGTAATATTATCACGTTAATGTTTACCTGCAAACTTAAGAATACTACAATGTTGAAACAGAATCATGTATATGATACTGTATTTCTTTTCTCATCTTCGTTACAGTGAGTTTCAGTGTTTATATATAGAATGCAGAATACAGGAGTATAACTGCTGTCACAGAGTTTGTTATAAAGTTGTGGTCCTTACGTGTATCACATGCCACATGGATGGCCTGGATTTAGCTCTAACCGTTTGCTGTTTTGGAGTGTGCGGTAGTGAGGTGGTGCATTGCTACTTACAGTCCCCCTCAAACTGATGGTGTAGCAGTGAGGTGGTGCATTGCTACTTACAGTCCCCCAACTGATGGTGTAGCAGCAGTGGTTAGTTTGCTAGAGAGTGTCTTGAACCACTGAATGGGAAGAGACTTGGTGATGAAGATATCGGCGAGCAGATCATGAGTGCTGATATGATGAACTGAGAGATGCTTGGGTTGAATGCAGTCTCAAATGAAATGACAATCAACTTCAATTTGTTTTGTTTGGGCATGGAAGACTGGATTGTTTGCTAGAGTAATGACAAGAGATGAAAGAGTTGCCCAGTAAATTACAGTAACCAAAGACTAATTTCCAGTCATTGTGAGTTGCTAGCCCAGTCCGAATCAGCATATTTTTGTAAGGTAAGAGAGTCGTTGTATAAGGGTTAGCCGGTTGTGGAGGTGCCTTGAATATAGCGAGCAAACACTTGAGGGCTTCAAAATGACAATTAAGTGGATGATGCATTTGCTAGCAGAGCTGATGAACAGCAAACTGGATGTTCGGCCATGTGAGTGTAAGATATTGCAATGATCTGGTTAAGTGGCGATACATTTGCGGATTAGAAAAAATTGTATTGGAAGTAGCTATGAGAGTTGTCTTGTAGGAGGTTGGAGTAGAAACGGGTTTAGAATTTTGCTAGCAAGGTATTGACCAACTCATAGAAATCTAATAATTCTCAAAAGATTCAACATTTTATGGACTAATCAACCTAACTAACTAATATCCAAAAGAATTTTACCCACCTATACATCTATTGCAAATAAGCACATATTTTCTATACGCAACGAAAAAGTATTTCACATGCATCTTATAATCGATATAATTAGTGCTAATTTATGATAAAATAGATTTTCTATGACTGAGATTTATTGTATTCAAACATTTATTACTTGAGAATACTTATGATTAAACTAGTGATTCTTTATAGACATTAAAAAATTGCCTAATATTTTCATTTGTGTTTGAGAAATTCTTTTTCAGATTTAGTCTTTGAAAATTTCAAGAGAGATATGATCAACTTTAAATCAAATTTTTAAGAATGGAAGTCAAAAGAGAAAAATGTACACGCACTTGATTCTAGAAACCAAGAGGTGCTCAAAATTATCTTATGTTAGACTTCACATTTCTAAAATAATTTTTCTTTAGTTAACTAATTTGATTTAGAAAGTTGAGGCTTATATTCCAACAACACATGTTGAAAAAAATCAATAATATGATGGCTTATGAGGGGACTGGATTTAACCATAGCCTCATATCCTAAATCTAAAGTAGGGACTACTAAAGGATAGTGCCTCGAACCTATGTCTAACGGAATGCAATGTACTTACAAACCTACGCATCACTTCAAACTAAGTTAGCCCGACCACTGGACTTACAACCCTACCTGGAAAGGACCGTTAGCTAACCCACCTAATTGTTTTTAAAATCATGAGAAGGATAGGAGAGACTATTTGATTAAGAAGATAGGACTTGCAACTTGACTTTTTGGCCATGTATGATCATTTTGTTTTGAAAACTTAATTCATTAGAGTTAATCATTCAATTTTTATTTGAAAATGGGTTATCTTATGATTAATTTTATATTGCTTACATTTTTAATTGGTATAAATCTTAAATTTATCCTAAGAACCTACCAAATAGCACATGTTCAGGCCACTCCCACTCAAAACAAGTGAAAAAATCTAAGAAAATAACATGCATTTCTAATGCGCACTCAATAAACAAATCATCACATGTATATATAAGAATCAACCACATAAAAGTAATGCCCAAATTATTATAATTATTAGTGGCAGTTGAGTTGTCTGCCTTATACAACCCAGTTACTTCCCGAATGGACTACAACTAAGAATAAGGGAATGTTTAGCTAGAATTTAAAGCATTTCCAAAGAAAGTTGCAACAGAAACTTCCCTTATAAAATGCTTATTTTCTCCACAGGTGACACTATTCGCACTGCACTTAACAGCTTGTGTCTATTGTTGGATGGCCTACCACCATCGAATAATAGAGAAAACATGGCTAGGCCAACCAGTACCCAATTTCAAGGAGCGAAGCATCTGGCTTGGCTACATCTATGCAATATACTTCTCTATATCAACCCTGACAACCGTTGGTTATGGTGACCTGCATGCAGATAACAAGTGGGAAAAGATATTCGGCATTCTCCTCATGCTGTTCAACATTGGGCTCACTGCCTATCTCATTGGGAACATGACCAATCTCATTGTCCATGAGGCATCACGAACTTTCATGATGGTAACCATAAGCAACAAAAAAAAAATAGAAGGGGAATTTACATACATACCTCAAAATTATTATGAATTTATATATTATACCACTAAATCTTTTTATTGACTTATAGAACATCATAATCTCAAAAGAACATAAAACAATACCACAGGTGTTAAATTATCTCAATCAAAATACACATTTCTATTCTTAGAGACTTGATTATTGTATGAATAAATATAAAGATTTAAGTATTAAATATATAAACACATAAAAATTTTGAGATATTTATTTAAATCCCCCAAAATAAAAATACCTCATCCATCTTGTTTCAATTTAAGAACATACCTCAACACATTTTTTTCTTGGCATGGCATGTTTTATACTCTTCATAGAGGGAAGCCTCGCGTAATATTTCACGATATGCAAGAAAGAATGGCCTTCCCGAGACCCTGAGAACACAGATGATGCAACATGTGCGACTTAAGTTCAAGACCATAGAGTTACAACAAGAAGAGGTACTCACCAGCCTGCCAAAGGCTATACGAGCAAGCATCGCACAACACCTATTCCAGCAAACTGTGGACTTAGCATATCTTTTCAAAGGAGTCTCCGAAAACTTCATAGCACAGCTGGTAATCATCATTTATTTTGCTTCCACTTCAAAAGAGTCAAATGATTTTCAGACTTAGAAACTTCCACGTAATAGGGAAGGTTTGTAGAACAATCTAAGTAGGTATTCCTTTCATCAAAACTATTTTCATTTGAGCTAGAAATATGAAAAAGTTGCTTCCTATTTTTTACTTCAGCCTAGTTTTTATTAGTCAAAATGCTAACTCATATTTTTATTCAATTCGGATAAGTCTTTTTGTTTTTAGATTAAGACTCATTTTGGGTATGAAAATGAAATTCCACTTTTGAGGAATTTTGAGAAAATTTGTGGAAGTTGAAATTAAAGTTGATGTCTAACTACTATTAGGTATTAGCTCAATACCCATACACAAATCACATGAAAAGATAGGTATCAAGCTTCGCTTGTTAAAGCTTGAAAAGGGTGCATAGGTAAGATTGCATTATGTTTGTAGCTATATAAGTTGAAGCATGTAAGTTTGATTGGAAAGGAAGTATAAGGCAAGCTTGATTTTTTTTTAAGGATATTAGAAAGAATTGAGAAGAGAGTAAAGATGAATCAAAAGAGGAAAAAGGAGAAAATCATAAGTCTATTTCTAAGAGTTCAAAGTATCATTTTGATGAATCGAATATAGTTTATTGAGGACCTTTTAAAGTGCAAAATATTTTAATATTTGTTTAATCCTCTTTTTTTTGGTATTAGTCCAAATTTATTTCTCTCCCACTAGAAATGAGAGGCTTGGGATTTCTCTTTTCTTTGTTGAGCGGGGGTGTACTTGGATTTTAGAAAGGGCTTGTAAATATTTTTTTATCTTACACCACGATCTTTGTTAATGGATTGGATGCTCTCCTCTTGAATGAGCCATATGCTTATTTAAGCATAACCACAAAAATATTGATATTCTTTTTGTTGTGATTAGCCTCTTTTGCAATTGCTTTGTGATCCATCGTACTTACTTTCAGGTTGACACTTAAAAGCATAAAATTAGGAGCTATCTTATCCTAACAATCACATCAAACAAAAAGAAGAATTTAACAAACTTCATCATTTTTCGCAAATATTATATCTAGCTTCAAGCAACTTAATGGTCTTTTGATGAATTGGCATTCAAGGTTTCATACATTGTAATTGTTAATATAAAAATTTTGTAAAAAGATGATTTTACTTGCCCATCACCTCATCATCATTTTCATTAAAATTGCTTCACCCTATTCACCATACTAGTATGGTGATTGTTTCTTCAAAGTCAATCGCTAGTTATTTGTTATCCTGTCAACAGGTTTCTGAAATGAAAGCAGAATATTTTCCACCTAAAGCAGATATTATACTACAAAAGGAGATCCCCACAGAATTCTATATTGTTATTGCAGGAGAACTGGTACGAATTACTGGAAGGGTTGTGCATAATAGTTTATATAGCAACATTTTCTTCTGATGACAATTCCTTTAATATACAGGAAATTCTGACCAATGAAAACGGAACAGAGAAGGTACATTGCTTTTATAACTAGATTTTAAAGTCTACAAAGCAAAAGAGGTAATCTGAGATATTTGAAAAAGAAAAATATGGCTCAAGATGGAAATATAAGGAAAATTAGACATATTGATTGAATAAATGCATGGAATAACGTTATGCTTTTTAATTACGACTACAGTAAAGTAAAAAAGGTAAAACGGGAGATCTCAGTAGATCAGATTAGAACATAATCCAAAAAACGTGTTGTAGATAATGTCCAACAAAACAATTTTCTTTGTCTGATCTTTCTATTATTATTTACTATAACTGAGATTAAATTTTCAAAGGCTTAGAAAATTGGCATTTTCCTCCAGCAAAATGTCTATTACGTGCATGTTAACTCAGTCTAGTTTTTAGAAGAAACGCTAACGCTGTGGGACATAATTTCAGATTCTGTCAGCGCTAAGGCCTGCTGACATGGCAGGAGAAATTGGAGTAATTCTCAACATACCACAGCCTTTCACGATAAGGAGCAAAAGCATTTCCCAAGTTGTTCGAATAGGCCATAGTCATTTCAGACAGGTTGTGGAGCTACATATTGCAGAGGGGAAGACGATTCTGTCTAACTTTCTCCAGGTTTCAAACTGAACATAAAAATGCGTTCACCATTTATTTAGATGATTAAAGAAAAAAAAATGTTTCATTAGCCCAGTTAAAAAGGAAGAAAGCTAATGAAAACCTCCACAACTCAGTATTGTGCCACATCCCTTCAAATCTTTTTATTAGGCTGGAATCAATTTTCCCATGAACAAACATTTTATACAAGTATGTTACTATCAAAAAGTAGATATGCGCATGACAATGTGTTTTTTTTATTAATCTTTGAAAAGCTTGATTTCATTAAGCTTTAACGTACACAAATCAGCTATTTAAATATTATTTTCAAGTAAAACAATAAGAAAAATAATGTTGTTTCACATGAGAATGGTTCTTGACACAAAATCATCTATTCCCAGTTTCTTAAAGGACTAAAAGAAGAACTTCTGGTGGAGATCCCCATTCTAACGCAACTACAGCACAACATGGATGACGTAAGTGTGATCTGTTTTCCATAAAACAACTTGTTAAAGCATACATGCAATCAAATTTAGAGAATGCAGCCAAAATTAGACAGAACCCCATTTTCAAAAGAAAATATGTATAATATCTGTAACGTAAATCTGAATAAAGCATACAGACCAAAATTTCTGATGAAAAAATCGATCTGAAAACTTTCAACATTGTTGGCCAAAGTTTTTCTTTTCAAATTTGAAGACTAAAAAAAATCTTGGATAAAACATCACGGGACCAAACATAACTAACTGTAGTAACACTACCAAGACGTCATTCAGTTGTTCTGTAATAACAGAAAGAGCCGATTTATCTTACATTCCTTCACTTATGGCAATTCTAGCCTCTAGATGGAGCATGATTTCGACACAACCTATTGAAGACACAAGAGCACGATGTTATAGATTTGCCATATTGATAAGATTGATCCGCCAGTATTAGTCCAAGATTGAATAGATACTCTCCAAATGCAAAGGACTATTTGATGCATTATAAAAATATAAAGGATCCTGAAAAGTTTTGCAACAAGCATGATAAGTTCAACCAATTGTTGAACACTTTAACATGAAACTCTCACAAGTAATAGCACTGCACCAACTTCAAATATGCAAATCTGCAATCACACATGAATTGCTGCAAGTCATTGCCATCCAAGAAGAGGATATATGAAGTTCTTAAAAAGTCATTTTGAATCACTTTTCCGTTTATAACAATGAAGCGAGACCAAAAAGCCAATCAAATTGTTAACCTAATCTAAAACAAACAAACAAAAAACTCACTTGCACATCACCGTACCCAGCGCATGTCACGCATGCCCATCCCGCACACATCATAACCCTCACCTCCTCAGATCGAACAAAATCTCCCGCACGCAATCTCTATCTCTCTAATTCCCCCTACTTCAAGCCTCTGCCACTTGTTCTCAGTCTCTCCTCCCTCGCACTCTCATCACTCTCCCACTCGAACCAAGACACTAAATGTAATATCCAAAATTTAGATAAAAAATAAAAATTTTCTTAAGTGAATTATATCTTATATTAGCAGTTACAGTTAAGTAAATATTAGAAGTAATATTATTTAATATAAATTAAATTAAGTAACTTTATTTTGTCCAGATAGGTGTGTGGGCTATGAAAATTCGACCCCGGCCTCCGCTCGCTTTTCTTATTCGGCGAGGGACTTTTAACTGAATAAGTTCCGAGGTAAATTTTGGAAGGCAGATGGGTTTGTAGATAAGACACTACCCAGAGATTTCGCCCTCATTTTCTCTCTCTCTCTCTCTGCGGCTTGTGACTAGGGTGAGAACAGGAGTCGGTCGAGATGGGAGGAGATCGGAGCTTCGTGTGAGTAGCGACGAGAGGAAGAGATTAGGGGTTCGGGAGCAGGCCGAAGAGGAGGTTGTGGGATGTGGGAAGAGGACTCGGAGAAGAAGCGAGAGAAGTCTCCATTCCTTCGCTATTTAACGACCTCTTCGGAAGCTCGATCGAGGCCGGCTCTGAGCACAAATCACGAGATGCGACTCAAACGGCGCCGAATCGGCGTGATTTCGGCAAGGATTCGCGGATCCGCCGGATGCAAGGTGTGTGTATGCAGGATTTTTCCATTCCTCCCTTTTTTGTTCTTTGTATATTGGTCAACACCATCCAACTTAAATTCTACTGATAATATCCTCATCTATTTCACCATCACTCTGAACAATAGATCCAAGAAATCTAAAACGTATACATTTATTAATGACTTGATTGCCCAAAGTCACAATTCCTCCACTAGGTCTATTACTACTAAAATTACACTCCATATATTTAGTTTTAGATCTACTCCAGCGAAAACCTTTAGACTCTAAGGTTGACCTCCATAATTCAAGTTTAACTTCAACTCCCTCTCTAGTCTTATCAACAAGAAGAAAATCATCAGCAAAAAGCATACACCAAGGTACATCTTCTTGCAAATGTCTAGTGAGAATATCCATGACTAAAGCAAAAAAGATATGGGCTTACGGATGATCCTTGATGTAATCCAACCGAAATAGGAATCGATGAACCCGCAAATTCCCCAATGATAAAAAAAATCATTGAGTAATGAATCGGAAGGTGCAAGTGCATTTAATAAAACACAAAGTCCTATTTTAGCTAAGATTAGTTCAAATTGGTCATCTTAGACAAACATTTACCCCACTTACGAAGCAACTCATAAATACTAGCAAGGATCCTTTAATCAATATGGATCAACTACCTCCTCTAAATAACTAAAGAAGGTTCATGATAACCTAAGATGATGAAACAATGTAATCATAATTTGTTTATCAATTATTTTACTGGCCCTCCTTTCCTTTCCACCCCACCCCCCCCCCCCCCGCACCAAAAAAAAAAAAAAACCCTATTTGCTTTAACTACAAGATGGTGAATTTCAAGTCCCGAAACCAAAGTTGATGCTGCTATATGTTTGGTACATAATGACTTGCCCAAATCTAATGTTCTCTCCAGTGATCAGGAGAGGTGATTAAACATAAGAGCATGCACCAATGGGAAACCTGAAATCATATTTAAAAGTCCTCATAGGGCAAAACATCTCAGTTTTTCTTATCTCCAGCCTAATTTGCCTTCAAAAAATTTGACATAACAAATTTTAAACTCTCCAAGAGAGAGGTCGGAGCACGGATTTTCAGAGCCAGCACAAACTAAGCCCATGTACAATTCATATGAAAACCAAAACTATATTAATTCCATTAAAATGAGCCATATATTTGAAATTCGCAGGTAGTACTCAACTGAAAATGAGAAAAATAGAAAAACAAAAAGCACCTTGATAAAGATAAATGACCATAGTTCTTAATGTAAGCTACAATTGTCCAAAGGACACCATAGCAATGGCATTATGCATTGCATCTCAATACAGTCTAAATATTAGGCAGTATATTTCATTACCTCATATAAAGTAACTATTTTAACATAAGAAAATAATGTTGAATTCTAACTGCATTTCATCATTGATGATAACAGCTGAGGGCGATAGCTGAAGAAGCATGGGAGAATGATACAACATATGGGAACAACACAGGTGATAAAATGGAAGGTCTGATTTTGAGATCCATAATCCTACTAAAACTGTTGAAGACATTTTTATAATGGCATATTTTACATTTTAATAATAAAAAATTCATTAACATCAACTACCCACATTGTACTACACAACAAGCATCAAACTTCTAGCTTATACAAAGAGAAAAAACTAACAAAATATGCCTACATCATGATAGAAAAAATTGTGAACATTCAACGACTATATTCAAAGGTAACAAGAAGTCTTTTCCCATGCATACAAGTATTCAGGATGATGCAGTCCAATTAAAGAAATAAATGATACATGCAAGGGCCATATTAGCATATTTAAAGTTAGCTATGAGAGTTAAGAATGTAAGCAAATATCTGGGACATGAAAACAATTTGCATAAATTTAAGACTAAGCCTTTTTGTGTCACAATTTTGCAGGAAGATCTTTGACTTGCTCCAGCATAACACCAAGTGACCCTCCTAAAAGAGTAGTAATCCGTGGACATCATCCAGATAAAATTGATAAAACAGAAGGCAACCAGCTTGGCAAACTTGTATACCTACCAGATTCTATTGAAGAACTTCTGAAATTGGCAGGTATTGCAAGCTTCTTATCTTCACTAAAATTGTTTAATAAGTGGTTAATGTCATTATTAGGAATGACCTTTCTTTATTAGATTTAAATGAGAATTTAATCTTTAATAGAACATAATGGAGAAAAATGATTCATATAGCCGACCCCACGTAGCAGGATAAAGGCTTGATGTTGTTGTTGTTGTTGTTGTTGTTGTAAGTGGTTAATATAATCAAGTTTAGCATGGAAGTTCATCAAATCGGTACCGGGTAAAAATCATAGCAGTATGATGTTAGACCGGTCCAACCAGTCCGACAGGACTGGCTTACGCGAACAGAGGCGGCAACGTCCGCCTCCTGTACGCGCCGAATGCACGCCCAGACATGCTTGAGCCATTTAGGAATGATTTTTGAGGGAGTTAGGAGGGAAACTTGAATGTAAAAACTGTTTAGGGATTTCCTTTTGATTTATATGCATTAAATAGTTTGTTTACCTAGGGTTATGGCATCTTGAATTTGACTGAAATTTGAGATCTCTTAGGTTTAGATTTTTGGGCTCTAGTGGCGTCTAGAGATTTTGGAGAGATTGATCATCCTCTCAAATGGTGGATCAACTATTTCTTGTTATTTTCCATTTCTATTTCATCAAATAATACAAATTATCTACTGTTTTCGTGATTGTGTGATTTTTTTGAAGAATTCTTGCTGTTTTCCAAAGATTGATAGGATTTACTTGAGATTACAAGTGTTTCTATCAAATTGAGATCATAGCAGATTTTGGAACCAGTTGTGGGCTCTTTTCGGGAAATTCAATGGTTGTTTTTTGCCGGAGGAAGGGATTTTTGCTGTTTTTTTTTTTTTTGTCAATATCCAGATTTTTTTTAATCCCACAAAAATCCAAGTATTGATGGCGGCCAAGAAGGTAGATGCATTGGAGGAATGCCTTGAAGGGGAGATGAGCCAAATGAAAGCAACGGTTGAAGATAAAATTTCATCCGTGGAAGACAATTTTCGATCTTCATGAGATGGTGAAGAAGATATTAGATAATCAAATTCAAACAGTAGCTGCGGAGACAAAGGGACGGGTGGGAAGAAAGGTAGAAGTATTGGAATGAGAGATCAGACAAATGAAATCTGAAATTTCATATCTCCAAACTCAAGTTTCGGATTTAAAGAAAAATATTACAGTCATCCATGATAAGTTCAATTCGAAATTTTTCATCATGGAGGAGATGTTGAAGAAAGAGCTTGAGGGCCAAACTAGAAAAATGTCATCGGAGATGAGGAAAGTCACCGACATCCAAGGATGGTGGGAAAACCCTAAGCCAATCAGACAAAGGGAAGCTCAAGAGATAGAGATTTCGAAAGGAATAGAAAAAATGCCTCCCTTAGGGCTTATTCCTAAGGAGGAGTCGGGTAGAGGGTATGTGGGGAGGCGTGAGGGGATTGGACATGAGTGGAAGGGTGCTGAACTTGAAAGGGAAAGAGAAAATTTTGACCAAAGGAGAGCTGAATTGGAAAGAGGAGTTTGTGATGATCCAAGGGGTGCTGAATTTGAAAGGAGGTGGGAATTTGATGAAAAGTTTGGGTATGAATATAGAATGGATGATTGGGACACTTGAGGGGAACCACCCCCTTAGGGAATGGAAAATTATAGAGGGAACAGAGGGGATAGAGGCGATCCGAGAGAGAAAATTGAAGCTGTCAATCTTTGAGGGGGAGGATGCGCATGAGTGGATCTAAAAGGTTGAAAGATATTTCTCCGTCAATGGGTTGATGGAGGAGGAGAGACTGACGGCAGCAGGCCTATGTTTGGAAGGGAAAGCTTTGGCTTGGTACCAATGGAGGGGCATGCGACGACCCATACAGAATTGGAGGGAGTTTAAAGATTGTTTGATAGAATGCTTCTGAACTGGCATGGGAGGAGACTTCTACGACAATTCTTCGCCTTGATGTAGGATAGTTCATTAATAGAGTATCGGGAGAGGTTCAAGTACCTTGCTAGCCGATTGGACCGCCTTTCTAAGACAGTGCTAGAGGGAAACTTCATGAAGATAATGATACCAGAGATTCGGGCAGTGGTTAAAATAATGAGGCCTCGTGACTTGGGAAAGACTATGGAGCTAGCTCAATTAGTAGAGGATCAGAGGCACCTTGAGAGAGAGACAGGAGGCAGCAGCTCAGGAGGCCCGTATAGGATAACCACCACCTTATTGAAATCCAAGGAGCCAATACCATATACTCTTCAAGGGACTCCGAAGGAAAAGACTACAAGAGGAAGACCTAGGGACAACTTCAAGAAGCTCACAGAGACGGAATTACAGGAGAAGAGGATAAAGGGACTCTGTTTCAGATGTGACAAGAGGTATACGCCATGGCACAGGTGTAAGGATCTAACTCTTCAGGTTCTTACTATTTGTGATGAAGAAGGAATGGAGGAGGGTGTCGTCTTTCCACCTTGCAGATAAGGTGGATCTTTGGGAGGAGAGTATTGTTAGACCGGTCCGACAAGATCGGCATACGCGAACAGAGGCAGAAATGTCTGCCTCCTGTACGCGCCGAACGCATGCCAGGGCGCGTGAGCCATTTAGGAAGGATTTTTGAGGGAGTTGGAGAGAAATTTGAATGTAGGGACTGTTTAGGTATTTCCTTTTGATTTGTATGCATTAAATAGTTTGTTTTCGTGGGGTTAGGGCCTCTTGAATTTGGCCAAAATTTGATCTCTCTTAGGTGTAGATTTTTTGGCTCTAGTGGAGTCTAGAATTTTGGGAGAGATTGATCCTCCTCTCGAATTGAGTATCAACTGTATCTTGCTATTTTTCCATTTATATTTCATCAAATAATAATAATTATCTACTGTTTTGGCGGTTTTGTGTGGATTTTTGTGAAGAATTCTCGCTGTTTTCAGAAGATTAATAGGATTGACTTAAGATCTACAGGTGTTTCCTATCATATGTGCACTCATACAGTGACAATACCACTTTTTATCAGTGGTGAAGTCCTCATATAATCTAACGGACACTTTTAGGCAAGACAGTTTATTGAGAAACTTAAGATATCAAGCAATAAAAGTTTATAAATTGAAAACAATAAAAGAAATAAACAGATGGAAGAAGCAAATTTACATGTTTTTGGACTTCATTCTTATTATGATACATTCTAGAGTAGGAACAACTCTAGCCTTCCAGTTATACAAACACTAAAAAATAACTATCGAGATTCACGATACTATAATTCTATCAAAAATGAGTCTCAAATGCATAGATTGTCAAAAAGAGCTAAACAGCATATAAATGCTGCTTGGCCTCACAATGCAAAAGTATTCAAATAGCTCTGTATTATCTATATCCATAAGTCTAAAAAACTATATAACAAATAAATGAGTGCTCAAAACAGTGCAGTTGAACAAAATATGATATTAAAGGTTGAACTGCACTTGGGTTGTGCTGCCTGTTCTTTATTCCACTTATCTTATATTTTCTAAACTCTACCAACTTGATCCATCTTTTTTATGTTACAAGAAAATTTTACATTTCAAGATATTTCTTTAAAACATATGTTGATTCTTCCCAAATGATCAGCAACGTATTTTGTAAAACAAAAATTCCCTTGTAGCCATGCAGATATCATTTCCCTCAACTTCGCTGGAGTATTTCAAGCCTACAAACCCATCTTTTTTCAAGTAAAAGGTGAATGTCTTGTGGGCACAATACAGCATAGACAGATCATTGTATACATATCTCATTCATGAGCATTGCACATGCCCCTCATTCCCAAACACAAAACAAAAGGAAAAAAAAAAGGATAAAAGTCACGGAAAAAAGGAAAAAACATGCAGAATATACAATATTTTCCTAGCCTATCGTACTTTCATATGTCCTCTTCTTGATTTATCCATCTCCACATATATTTCTGTTATGCTTCTTGATCTATATCAAGAAAGGAAAGGCACCTTTTGAGTAGATGTGGACTCCTTAAGGAAGAATAAGGGAAAGAAGAGAGACTAGAGAGGAAGAAACAAGAAATCATTCATTCCATAATATTTTCTTACAATAGGAGGTGTATTTATAATACTTGGGTAGACCAAGTTTACGATATAAAACCATTCTACCTAAAACAAACTAAAAATAGAATAAAAGAAATAAACTAGTGGTTATTATATATGTATAGACTATTTAGTTTATACTTTATTTGGTTAAAGATATGTTGTCAATGTCTAACACTCTCACATGGAAAACAACCTTGTCCCCAAGGTTGAGAGAAGGAAAATACGAAGAGAGAGCAACAAAATTTTCCCATGTGGCATCATCCGAAAATATAATTTCCATTGCAAGAAAACTTGAACGCGAAGTTGTAAAAAGGTAGAAGGGGAAAAAGGCATAAGGAGAAATTCATAGTGACTGTCATGAATCGTTTTATGATATTTTTAGAATGTATCCTAACTTGATAAGAAGCAGAATGAAAATAAAGTTTGGGGAAAAAACTCTATGTAATTCATCTAAAAATTCATGTACTATTGTAATAGGAAACTTATCTTGAATTGTGAGAATATTAATTGCTCTAGGATCAATGCAAAACTGTCAAGTATCATCATGTTTTTGAACAAACAATATCAAAATAGAAAAAGAGATAGCATTATGATAAATAATGTCGGAATGAAATATTTTAGAAATTAATTATTCCATAGCATCCTTTTGAAAATGTGAAGAATGAAAATGACATATGTTAATTGGCTGAGATAAAGATGGAAGATGAATACGATGGTCAGTGGTACTAGGTTGAGGCAAACCTAGTGGTGGCTGAAAGAAATGTTGAGATTGTTTGAGTAAGGCAGAATTAGACAATGGTAGATGATGTGCAAGAAAAGAGATACCTGTCGGAGAAGGTGGCGGTTGTAGAGAAGGGATTTGGCCGTTGGAACCAAGAATGCTAGCGGAAGATGAAGTATCTTGGTGATGTGGAGTTTATGGATGGTTAATACACAAACGATCAAGTTTCTTGTTTATGAAATCCATAAATGAATAGATTTGTTGAAGGGATGGGCCAATAGAAGCAAATTGAACATTGATTTGATGTGAGGATTTTTGGATTTCAAAGAAACGTAATTCTTGATTAGTTTGCAATGCTCGGTGAGCTTCCGCCAAGTCTACGTTCTTCATATTGATTCAATATTCGTGGATGATGAAGGTTTGAAAAGATGAGGATCTTCAATTGGTACAGAAATTTGTGGTTGTTTGGATCAGATGGCCACAGTTGTTGAGCGGATGGATGTAAGGGCGGCTGATGGCATGAATCCGTAGGTCTTGAAGGTCCTGCCCACTACAACTGAAGTGTTGGTAACTGTTCTTGAAGGTTCAAACGCTGTTCTTGAAGAGAATGAAGCGAGTGCTGAAACAGGAATGAGCAGAATTGCAGTTGGAATGGTGAGCAGCACTGTTGTTTTTTAATACAGGTCCTTGTAGCAGATTGTAGATCAATGAAGGTGGTAGAAACAGCATAAGAAGGGCTGTAATCTGGGGACTGAAGAAGGGCTGCTGCAGCTGAAAAATCAGCAGAAGAAGGCTGCAGTTGCGCTGGAATGGCATCAAGAATAGCATGCCGTGGGTGAGAGAAGCACCTGGATGAAGATGGTTGCTGCTGTTGCTGTTCTTGGTGTTCTTAAACAGGAAAATGCAGCCAAATTGAAGACTGCTGCTATTCTTATGTGAAGACTGCTGCTGGGAATGTATGGTGAAGTTAGTAATGTTGTGAAGATGCAGGAAACAAAAAGAGAATGATATGGAAGGCTGATTTGCTGAAGAAAACAGCAAGAAGAGGGCAGGAACAGCCTTTGGTGGCAGAATCTTGCAACTGGCAGCCTGCCGGAACTACACTGGACTGCAGAAAACGGAGTGCAGGACAGCAGTAGAACCGGAAGGCTGTGGTGAAGCAGTGTTTTCCAGTGGATAAACTATATCTTGGTGCCTAAAATGGAGGTAGGAGGTCATGGAGGAGACTGGCTGGCTGAAGAATAAGGTGGAAAGATGAGTTTAGTGCAACAAGAGCACCATTTGTTATGCTTCTTGATCTATATCAAGAAGGGGACGACAATTTTTGAGTAAGCGTGAACTCCTTGAAAGAAAAGAAAGGGAAAAAAAAAGACTAGAAATGGTGAAATCAGAAATCATTCATTTCATAATATTTTTTTATAATAAGAGGTGTATTATAATGCTTGGGCAAACCAAGTTTACAATATAGAATCGGTCTACCTATAACAAACTAAAATTAGAATAAAATAAATAAACTAGTGCTTATTATATATGAATAGATTATTTAATTTGTTTTTTTTTTTCTAAAGATATATTGCTGATGTCTAACACTTTCCTATCCACCTTTACAATGAAAGAATAAATAAGGGAGATCTAGTGACACTAGAGATGGTTATTGGCGCTAAATAGGCGGCCATAACTTATTTTTATTTTTATTTTTATTTTTTTCTTCTTTTTTTTCGAAAGGGAGGGGGTTAAGTGACGTTTGAGGCCGAAGCACGGTATAGATAGTAATTGATATCAAGATTTCTGCAACAACTTCTAAATTCTTTATCAACTAAATTAACTAGCACCCATTGAGGCCATAAGGGATAATAGGCATGAAAATTATCTGTTTAATCAATCTCTAATGATTGTCGAGTAGAAAAGTGAAAACCAATGAAAATGCTTAATCAAGAAACTTCATGACTTTCCATAACTATTGCAAGAATCCAAAAGATATAGTTTACATATTAAGGAATTTGTTATATAGAAAATGTATATGATGTTGGCCTCGAAAGAAATCAATCATCTAACAATTATAATTGCCTAGAAAACAACTGAAATAAAATCTTTACAGAAATGTTGAAAAGTTTATCGTTGTTGGATGCAGAAAAGAAATTTGGGGCGCTACCAACAAAGGTTTTAACTATTGAAGGTGCAGAAGTTGAAGACCTGGATGTTGTAAGAGATGATGATCAACTGTTTGTATTTTGACAAGAAAAAGAAACTATGAATAAGAGCATCCAACACAACGAATAAGCACACTTGTTGGATCTTTTGGATTGTTCCTCATAGTAAGTACCCTTGAGAACAAAGTAGCACAATGAAGGGTGATCCGGATGGCTAAAAAAGCAGCTTAATGCCCATTTTCAGTTTTCCAGAATGCAAGAATAAGTTCGGCCAAGAGAACTGGCGTCCTTGTAATGATTTAGGCTTCGTTTGGGACGGCTTTCTTGTTGCTTCTTAAAGCAACTTTTTAGTAAAAAAATTAATTTTTGTACTAAAGAGCTTTAAGAAGCAACAAAAAAGCCGCCACAAAAGAAGCCATAAAAGAACGACAGTTGAGAAAACATTGCAAAATATTCTACTATAATAAAGCAATTTCAAACTTCAAGGTAGTTACACTTCTTATATCTGTACAGATATTTGAGTGACTATAATCACACATGGAACCATCAAAAAGTAAATGTACTTGAATAATAATGCATGTCGTCCGCAAGGAACTTTCACTGTAGATCTGTCTGATAATCTCGCATACAAAGCTTCTTTTAACATAGAATTGCACATGATTTATCTCCTCAACTAACAAATGTTTCTTCTAATTAAGAAATTAATGATGATTTGTTTTCCACATTAATTATATATGCGATTTCCTGATCAAGATTTTCTGTAACTTCTGTTCTGCTTTAAGGAACTACGAATCCAACAAATTCATAGCAACTTTACACAAAAATTTTCAGTAGATAAATAATATATGTAAGTTATGCAAAGCAATAAATAAATTAAAGTATTCATAATTTTCATATTATCACTAAAAACTTTTTAATACATCACTTTGACGCAAGTCACTGTTTCCTCCATATCAGAAGATTAAAAATCAAGATTCTGAGTATTATTACTGATTGAATGATAGAGCAGGCACCTTTCTTTTACTAATTATTCACCTTTGATCTTCTTAGTTCAGTATCAAAGTCTCGGAAATTATCTCTGTCTGCCGGTTTCGCGTAATAGCATGCCTCAGTCATTTTCTGATCTGCCTCGCACGCCACCGCGCCTCTACTCGCCATCGAGATCCCAGAGAGCATAAGATCCCTCCCCTTTGCACACCCCATTGGCAAACTTCGCTCGTGCTCCAGACCCATTTCCCTGCTTCCCTGCTGCTATTGCCGAAACCCCTACGCCGCCGCATGCATCTTCCTGCACACCGCTACCGGATCTCCCTTCTGACCCCTGCGCCATCTCTCCCTGTTCCCGATGCAGCTGCTTGCCTACCGCTCCCGAATGTTCTTTTCGTGTCGCGCGCTGTGCCGCCAGCTGCACATTCCCCTTCGTTTGATCACTAGGGCTTTTCTTCTACATCTTCCATATCCAATTTCTAGCTCCAGTTCTAGCATTTTCATCCGACGAGTACTTGCCAGCATTGTGCATCGCCAATACCACCCATTCAGAAGAGATCATATCTGGAAATATCAGTTACCGCATTCCCTATCTATCGGAACTCCGCCAACACACAAGAAGCAACCTCGTGTGGATATAGGCATACCTTATGTAGCTACACCATTCACGGTCACGTGGACTCACCAGTCATCTTTTCATCCTTGGAGAATTTTTCCGGGGCATTCCCGGGCCTTGTCGCCGGCAAAATATTATGTGCGGACACACCGGACACAAGCGTCCTGCTTTTCGGCTTTTGATGTATTTTTTAAAAGTTAGCTAATACATCATTTTAATTACATATTAACGATCTTTTGTTAAATATTTACAAAAATATAGCAAAAGTGCAGCAAATATCTTACTTAAATACTTATTGAGTATTTAATGTTTTTTGATGCACTTTTCAAATACTCAGTAAAATGACAGTTAATATGCAATTAAAATTGTGTATTAGCTACTTTTGCAAAAATACACAAAAGCGCAACAAATAGAGACACAAGCTTGCGTTCAGTCTTCGCACATAATAATTTGCCTTTGTCGCCTGCACCCTATTTTCTCTGCACTCCATCCGGAGCAGCTTTAAATCCTTCACGTCATTTCTAGTATTTATAAAAATTATCTGGTATTATTATTTTTGGGATTTACCTACATAACACTTAAAACTCTCATATTTTATATTATATCTAAAATAACTAATTTATATTATCACATCTGAAATATATTATTTTCTCACATCCCTCACGCAGTTCCGTCTCCATGACCCCGCGCGTGCCAGCTCCCAGACGCTCATAGGATCGTCACCTTAACTCTATTCTCCATCAATTTTCTACGTGAGAAAGTCCTGTGATGCTTGTGAATGCTCTTTTTTTTAGAACGCCCTGCAACTCTTTTGTCATTCTATTGTTGCCGTGAATTTTGACTTATGTATTTTATTTTTTCTGCCATGAGACATGCGTATAATGGCCTTTTTCTACCCTTGTGTTTACAAATTTTGGATTTTAAGTTATAGTTATAGTGAATGGTGGTAAATGTATGTGGGTTACATTTAAATTTGGGGGATATTAGAGTGAACTTAAAGGTGGAAAGAGAAGAAGATATGAAGGTGGAAAACATAAAACGATGAAATTAGAGTATGATTTTCTTAATTATTTTATCCTTAGAGAGAACATTGAAAAGATCTGTCCATAGTTAATTGGGCATGAGTTCAAGTTACACTTCCATATTAGTCATACTTCTCATAAAGTTTACAAGACTATTTCAAGTAATAATGAGGTTATGCAAATAATATGACAATGTACTGACAGTCAGCTGGTTGAAGTCGTTGTTACGTTATAAGAGGATGCAAAGATTGATATGAACTTAGAAGGTTTAGAGGATTGTTCTAATATTGGTATAGTTATTAATGTTGCTTCAAAAAGCATTGACTTTGGAAGCTTAAGCAGTGATCAACTTATGCGACCAGTTACTGATGATAAAATATAAAAAATTGGTGTTTGCTTTCATGATGAGTTCCAAGCAGTTCCTACGATCCATCGAAATTACCATTAACTTTAGGGTGAAGATAAAGGCTAGTAATAAGTCTAGAGTTATACATACATGCTCGCATCGAGGGTGCCCTTGTATGGTACGTGCATCGCTATGTAGGGATGGTCAGACCTTTGAAGTTAGAAGGTTATATGATATGCATTTGTGTCTTGGAGTTAACAAAGCTTGAAATAAACATGGTACATCAAACTGGGATGCTCTTGAAATGCAGGGTATTGTGAAGAAAATTTTGAATATACCGTCAAAGCACATTAACAATACTTTAGAGATAAAATATAGATTATTATTTATGTATTTGTGAATGTGGCACTCTAGAGAAGTAGCACAGGCAATGACTTTTAGTGATGTGGATGAGAACTACAAATAGGTTTTGGCTTTAAGAAGTGAGCTTAGTACTAAAAATGCAGGGTCTTCTATCACATACACTAACGATCATGATGATTACTCATTCAAGAGGATATGGAACTTAGTTTGGGCAAGTACTAATTACAAAAAGGATGATTTTGAGTTGAAGTTGGAGGAAATCTACAATATCAGTTAAGGTTTTCACTCATATTTGGCTTCTTTACCATATAAGTGGTCGAAAAGTATGCTTTTAACTAAAATTAAAAATGCTTCTAATACCAACAATATGTTCAAATGTTTTAATGCTTGGATCGGAGAAGCAAGAAGCAAACCTGTGGTTGATCTTATTGATATAATTAGGGGCATGATAATGGAACAAAGGTCTGATAGAAGGCTTACAGCTTGCAGTTGGACAGGAGAGTTGGTCCCTTATGCCTAGGAGTGTGTTAGAGAAGTTACAACACGAAAGGAGGTCCTCATTATTAGGTAGTCTTCTTCTTCGAAGTTTGAGGTGGAATGACTAAAAGAGAGATGTGAGGTGGACATTGATAGTCAGGAATGTTTATGCAACCGTGGGAAAATGACTGGGTTACTGTGCATGCATGTAGCAGCAATAATTGGGAACAAGGAACATCCACTTTGGCATATATACATTCATTCATACTACCATGTTAACATGTATGAATTCTACTTTGTACAAAATCATAACAATCAAGTTTTGTGTTATATAATCCTTGAAAGGTTTTGTTTTCTTTTCCACATACAAACAAGATTATGAAGGTGCAACTACAACGCTTCCTGACAAAAGTCATTGGAGTGTAGTTGATAACCATGGCCATGCCCAAGTTGGAGTGGCCAAAACTCAAAGATCCGCGAGTCGAACAAAGAAAAAGATATTCAAAAATTTTTTGGAGACAAAAATAACTAAACAATGAACATAAGTGCGGGAGGTGCGGCTTACTTGGACACCACAAAACAACTTGCAAGGAAACTATATGAAGATCATTTTGAAACAATTTATTTTTTGGAGCAATTTTTTGGTTTCTTCACAAAGATAACGAGTTTTGTAATAGTTTTTTCACAAACATAACAATTATGTATTAGTTTTTTTTTTTCAAAGAGAACAACTTTTGTAATTGTTTCTTCATAAAGAGAACAATTATGTAATTGTTTCTTAAAAAAAAACAATTTTCGTAACAGTTTCTTCACAAAGATAAATGAAATTATTTTGCATTATTTCAAAAACCTCATACAAGAGTTCCCATTACAATGACAATTACAATTCTTCATATAAGTACAATAAAGTTAACAATTGAAGTACAACCAAAACAACTAATAGCAACTTGATTTGAAACAAGTTGTGCTTCACGAACTTCAAATTCTCCAAAGTCGTATCATCTACTTGCCTTGGTATTGGATAATGACTTATATTTGATGGTGTTTGATAGACTTCATCAACCCACCTAAAGAAATTGCAATGATCTTTTGTCTTGTTGCAAGGGCAATGATAAAATTTTCAACTAAAATTCACTTTGTTTAAATATAACACATTACAAGTTGCAATGACATGTGATTTGTGGCATGTGCATGCATGTAGAGCCCGTTGAATATCTAGAACTCATTTTGTAAAGGGAAATACATGAAAAAATTCAACTTTAGAACATCAACCAACAAGTGAAACAACAACATCAAGTAACATCTTATGTGCATGCACCCAACCAATTATCACCGAACTCAGGTTCAAGCAAGATTCATCATGGAGATGAGTAGGGACTAGATAAACAACAATAATATAGGATTTTTCTCCTATTGTTGATCCCATGGCCCTCCAATGATCCCACAGGATGTAGGTCATGATTGCAACATGGATCATCCAAGTAGAGAGCCGCTCAACATAAACCAATCAGCACAAATCGAGCTCATTTTAATCATTATTCGGATTTGCATAACACACAAATATATAAATCCTCAATTACAACATCTTATAGAAATCCTCCACTACATTATAGAAATCCTCCACTACAACAAACTTCTTGTTCTCTCACATGGCCATTATTCAACCAAGAAAATCTTGACCCCTCACAGTGAAATAAAGCCAACCAACAACCCATCACAGTGAAATAAAACCAACCAATGACCATTTTTCGACATCAGTGTAAAAGTAACAAAACTTATTATTCCCTCACAAGACCATTATTCAACTGAAAAAACCATGACCCATTACAGTGAAATAAAGCCAACCAACGATTCATCATAGTGAAATAAAGCCAACCAATAACCATTAATCAACATTAGTGCAAGAGTTACAAAACTTATTATTCCCTCCAAACTCTAAGAAAACACATAAAAAAGGGCATTCTCATGAAAGCCAACCAAAACCAATGACCCATCATAGTGAAATAAAAGC